GTGTAGGATGGCCGAAGGAGATGAATCCCTGGAACTTTTTCCCCCGTCGAAAAAGACGAAGTCTGTCGTATGGGAATTTTTCGGGTAACGTAGACTAACCATGTTCCGTACACAACGGTGTTCCGTACAGATGGCGTTTTAGCTCTGATCGCTAAATAAATACTTCCAGGTCGAACATAAACTATATATCTGTGTCATCTTTCACCCCCGATCAAGACAGAGACCCACCCGCCATTTGTTTCAGTGTTGAAATAAATACTATTTGGCTTGCTACCGAGGCAGATAACATGGCTAATTAACTAGCTAATGTCAACTAGTTTCCTCCCTCACGTTACTTCACAGAGTGAAGCAACTAAGCAACAGCAGTCTAAAGTACGTATGTTACTGTAGCCTACTTTTCTGCGATTTAGTACAATAATTAAATGTAGCTGGTATCACGTCTATACTTTTAAGCCTACTGCCATTGTTTACATCTGTTCAAAATCACGCATTAAAAAAAACAACAACAAAAAAACACTTTGCCACTGTTTGAGTGTTGTACGGAGAGACCGCGCGCGCGTGTGTGTGACACTAGCGCTCTCTCTTTCCTTATGTGTGTATGTGCACACATCCTCGTACCTCACCGCTCCAAATCATAGCTCCAAACTTAATCCATCATAACTTGGATTGAAAGATGAATGTGTAAAAAAGCGAGCATGTCTCCAAAAACCTTGTTGAGCTGCAGGTTTTTAGCATTTTTTATTATTTTATTTTTTACAGAAATTATGTTTTGATTATATTTTTGATTATTGAGCTGCAGGTTTAAGCTCATTTATAGGGATTTTTTTTTTACAGAAAATAATTTATTTATGTTCTGATTATTGTTGAGCTGCAGGACTGCACTTAATTTAATTAAGAAGAATTCAATTATTTATTTTAATTATTTAGCCTGACATGTTTACTGTTCCAAAATGTTCTATATGTTTCTTAAAAATAAAATGTGTTCAGTGGAGAAAAAAAGTTTTTTTTTTACCCAGACATTTAAAAATAACATATTTTAGAGCTGTAATCGCAATACCGTGAAACCGTGTTATTTTTATCTAAGGTTATCATACCGTCAGAATCTCATACCGGCCCATGCCTAGTGTACACATAATGAACTGTAAACAGAGAGATTAATTGATTATAACAGAACTTTCTGAGACTGCGATAAACTGAAATAATTGACAGCAACATAAATGTGGGATTCACTCTCGAAATTGCAATGAATGACATAGTGATAAAAGACCAAAATAGATGTGCATTAAAGCTAGAGCTGTCACGAATCCTGTCCATGAACTTCCATCCACTTGCCACCAGAGGTCGCCCTCCCATTATATTGACTCTCACACCACACAGACTATTACACATCACCCTGGACTACATTTCCCATGCTCCATTGCGCTAATCACAAGCTCACCTGAAACCAATAACACACACTATATAAATCAGTCTCACACCACCATTCAACGCTGAGTATTGTTTAGCACTTATCGCTCATCGTGTGATAGCTACGTTACAGACAGTTTTGTCTAGTTCCTAGTTCTAGTCTAGTCACGTCCAGTTTGGTGCCTGATTGCCTGTTTCCTGATCTCCTGCCTGTCTTGGATTCTTCTATTGCCTACCTCTCTGGACATTGTTCGCCGATCTCAGACCCACGCTAGCCTTTGGATTACTCTTCATCTTGCCTCTTCTATTACTGTTTGCTGTGTATCGACCCATGCCTGTTTCATGACCACGCCTTTTAATAAAAGCATGCAAATGGATCCGCACGTCTCACGTCTCTGTCACTCCGTAACAAGAGCACCCTCACTAATTTAAGAAGCACCCTCAGTGATTTAATTCTGGAACCAGGCCTGCCTAATTATCTTCCTTTCAAAATGTAATGCCCAGTTTTACTGCATTCAGTTCTTCTCTTAATGAAGGGAAACAAATTTTATGTAAAAAAATAAAAAAGTGGAAATCTCACACACAACAGAAAAACAATATGTAAACACCTTTACTATGTTAAAAAGACCACACACAAAAAAAACAACAACAACAATTCATTTATTTTTAAATCTTTCAATTAAATCTTTTAAGTTATCATTTGCAGTCCTAATGTTCATCTATAATATTTACCAAATTGTTTGGCATAAATGGTTTTACAACTTTCAAAAACCTTTACAAATAAAAGTATACACATAAGAAAAAGCTGTTTTAGTTAAATTGTGTGTGTATGCACACATTATATAATTAATATCATATAATATTATATATTATAATACATTATAAATTATACTATAATTTATACAAGTATAATACAACTGCTTGATAACTTAAATATTGAATTTACAAAATGCCAAATTTTCTGTTGTGCGAGTGATTTCTACAACTTACAATTTTGCTTCTTTCCTTAGAAGAGGACCTGCATTAAGACATTGTGAAAGGAAAATAACTGGGGCATATAAAGTACATTTAAAATTAGCTTTCATGAACCTCAAACAATTGAGCAGGGTGCTAACAACAGTAAGTCAAATTAATTTGATTCCCAATTAATGTAACAACAACTGATATAAAACATATATCTTCAACGCGTGTAAGTTGCTTTGGAATAAAAGTATCTGCACAATGCAAAAATGTAAAATGAACCATGTTATGCTGTGATTATAAGTATAAGTAAGCCATGACATTTCAGTTCTAAACTGTAGTTTCACTATATAATATAGTTGTACAGTTTGACATTAAACTTACTGTATGATTGGAGGAGAAGGATTAAAAAAATACTATTTAGAAATATCAATATGTCAACACCAATACTCTCCTGTCACATTACCTGTCACAACAGGGAGCATCAGTTCAGCGCAGCTGGTTCGGGTTAGATATATATGGGTGTTTGACATTTCTGAAGGTACATTTTAGTGCATCTTACACAGAGGCCTCCATGTTGGAAAAACAACTCTGAGAGCCTTCATCATCTCAAATACACACACAGATGGACACACACCCATGCATACACAGAGGTATGAAGTCAGTCATTCATAACAACAGTGCCCCTCCTGTCCGGACTCTGCCGCCTCTGGGCTGTGAGGTGGAGGGGCGGAAAAAGGGCCAAGGGTTAAACACCAGCTCAGACAGGAATAATATTCCGACAAACACATACCCTCTCCCATTTACGCACATAGATACACATACACTCTGTTTTATCTGACTGTCCATGCTGGATGGAACGGTTGAAAAATTCAAACAACAACAAAACCTAAGCCGGGATTGTGTAACCTTGTGTGTGTTTTGGATTCAATGTCTTTATAGATTCACAATCAATCACACAGATGCCAAATTAAACCACTGCACCAATGGTGGTTAAAACTAATATAACTAGATGAAGGCAGCACTGAGGAAATGTGAACTCTACCAAAGCAAAAATAGCCTTATTAGAGACAACGGAACTGAATATGATATACGCAATACTACCTGTGACTCAAATGCAAAACACACACATGCATTTTGTTACGGTGCATGATGCTGAGATGAGAGGCAAATAAGTTGCATCATTTGGGTCAGGGGAACAAGGCAGCTCCTTCACAGAGGGAAATAAGTAGGTCATTGTGGATTCCTCTCATTGGCGCAGTTCTTTCCAAATAGTTGCATCTTTCCACTCTACTTCCAGCTGCGCGTTAACTCCGTATACACCATTCTAATGAATGGGAATGTCTTCATGTGGTCATTTACTGGTTTGTAAAATAAAAAGGGTCTTTGATTTCAGAGGATAGATGTGATTAGTCATTCTAAAATATTTTTTAACCTGACATGTTGAGTTAAAATTAATTAATTCAGACATGTAACCACTTACCCCTCATACAACTTATATATGTATAATAGTAATATAATTAAATAGCCTATGTAAGATCTAAATTAACTGTAAAGTAACTAATATAATGTAAAGAGAGAGAAAATAGAAAATAGTAGGCTAAATCGTGTGCACGATTTACAATTTCGTTCCCTTGATTTATAAATTGTGCGCACGATTTACTAATTCGTTCCCTCGATTTGCTAATTTTTTCGATTTGCACACGATTTATAAATCGAGAGAACTAATTAGTAAATTGTGCGCACAACTTAGCAAATCGAGGGAACGAAATAGTAAATCGTGCAATATCTCTTTGGTTTTGAGACTTTAGTCTTTGCAACTTCAGGATCTTATCTATGCACAATCAGCTTGTAACACTCCAAAGAGAAAGGAAAACTTGAAATCGCATCATATGACCCCTTTAAAATATATATTAGAAATAATACTATATTATATATACAGTATAATTTTGCTATACGTTTGAACGCAACATATAATCATTGCTGTTAATAGTGTGCACTGTCTGTTTGATTACATGACATTAACTAACTGCTTGATTTTTCCCATACATTTCTGCTATATGGACATCAACATGAGATAGTCACCACTGATAAGCTATTACTAAATATAATGTAGAAACTTTATTTTCTGTAAAGCTGATTTGCAACGATTTGCATCGTGAAAAGCGCTATACAAATAACTGAACTGAATTGAATTATATTATATTGGGACTGTCAATGGCGATAATTTACAAAATTAATTTTGAGATAAATGTTGAATTTAAAAAATGCTGCATTTTCTAACAAAGCTAATCCATCTACATTTTCTGTTGTGTTATTTCCACAACTTTGTCACATATAATTTTGCTTCTTTAAGTACCTAAATTACATATAATTATAAAAACATTACGTAAAATTAAATGTAAAAAATTAAATAAATAAATGATCATATATAGACAAACATGAATTATTTGATATACGTACTATATTATTTAGAAATACTATATTTTATATTTCTGCATAGTAAATAGATGAAATAGGTTAATAATTAATTACTCGTTTAAATTTGTACAGAAGCAGTCATTCTGCTAACTTGTCAACGTAATTACATTATTTTACAGTATACTATTACATTACAGTATTTTCTCAGACTTTATAAAAAACAAAAAAAATCACCTAATAGCCTTAAACTTTCCTAGAAAGCCCTTAACTGGTTTCAAATACAAAACCACACCCAAGTCTAAAAATGTTAAAACTGGGTAAAATATCAGTGTAAGATCGGTTACTAGTTTGCTGAGCTAAACAAGTCAAAACATAGGCCTAACATTCACATGGGAAAACAACAACTAAAATGCCTGAAGTGAGTTCAGTTTGAGATACTTAATGAGGGTCCAGGCTAAACCAGATGTCTGCATGAATGAAAGAAAATACACTGATTAACCAAAGAATCCCTGCTGTCTGGTGAGTAATAGGAAGCTGACATTGCGCTGGCTGACATAGGCATAACTGCGTAATACAGCTCGAGGTGAATCGAATAGGTAGGCATGCACAGACAGACACGCGCGCACACACATTTCCAGTGGATTCATTCAAAAGGTCACCACCACATACAAGCATGCAAATCCACCATCTGCAATAACAAACCAGCAACTCAGAGAAACAACATATGAGTCCGACAACAGAAATACACCAACCAGAAGAGTTTCACTTGGGCTGCACCCCGTCAGCTGGTTTTAATGTCAGTGGACACACCAGGGTGAGGACCACTTTAAAAACTTCATGAGTTCTTCTTTGATGTCTTCATCTTGATGTTTTAGAATAATAATGACAGAGCTGCACTAAAATCCCTCATATAAAATACAACTTGCACCACTGCAAGACACAATGAGGCTCTTTATGAGTCCCAGCCCACTATAAACTCTGATGGGAATCCCATGTACGGGTTTTAGACTGCGTATGGGTGCAATAACGAAATATGCAGTAGTTCTTTCTTACTGTACATTTATCTTTATGTATGAAATATCCACAGGCCCTCAGCTCAGCATGTTGGTTGTTTATTCCGGTGCATAAATGAATGTGCTTCTTCTTTATTAGTTTCCATGGTCACACGCCCACATTGAAGCGCTCCCTCAAATTTAGACCAACACTTTGGATTCAACATTACATACAGATAGGTGTCTGTGTAAATCTCTATTCCACAGCAAATAAACATTGAAGTATCTTATGGGTAAATTGAAGACACCCAGACACCTATTCATTAACCAAAAAAAGCTGGGTGCACCTGTTCTGGGTACACCTCAAATCCACCTGCTTGCATTTTGTTAGTACTGTCAGAAAAGGTGGAAGTCTCTGTACTGACCTGGATTATTGGCCTCCCTTTCCAGAACATGCAGCTCGGTGCAGTCAGCCAAGGAATGCTCCAGACAGAGCTGAAGGAAGCGTGCTTGGGTCCGACTGACCCGCTTGAGGAGCGACAGTAACGCCACCGTCTGTTCGCACTCGTTCCATCCCTTAAACCAGCCGGCGAGGACTCCCACCTGGTCACGAAACATCATGATCTGATGGGCAGGCTCACGGTACCAAGAGTTGGGTTCGTTGAGAGTGAGAGAGAGATGGCCGCGACCCAATTACGATGCTTTGCAGCTCAATAGAGAATCACCACGCAGACGTATCCAAAAACACACTTGCTTTCACCTTTACTTGAGGTTTGACAGAAAACAGCCCTTTGAGATGTTATTTGCTAGTGGGTACCAATGAATTGCATCTTTGTTCTTGGGTTTTGGAGTTAGGCTTGGCTGTAGGGAATCCCTGTTTGAAGCTTTTGAGATGGTATTCGTTGGAGCTCTCCAACCCTCTGACCACTTGGGGCTTACAAAACGTTCCTCAGCTTTCCTCCAGCATACAGTGACTGTCCAGCTTTAGTCTTGATGGCATTTTCCACAGAGAACATCTCCTTTCTGTGAAAGTAAAGAGTAGTGATTATACAGTCCATATTTTAGAAGAAATACAAACACAAAATGTGAAGCACTGGTGGAAATTTCATCTTAAAGTTGGCAATTGTGTTTTGGAAGCTGGTTTATGGTCCAGGTAGGTCATATAGCTGTTCAACCAGTTCCAAAAAACAGGCTGACTACCTTAGGCTGGTTTGGCCAGCTGGTAGTCAACTAGCTATTAGACAACCAGCTAGTAGACTATCAGCTGTATTATCTACATATTTTGAATCCCATTGCTGGTTTCGGAAGCTTTTGGAAAGGCGCCACAAGCCTGCCTTTTGAGTCTTCCAGATGAAAATGACAAGTATGTGATATTTCTTCAAAGAAACACGAACAGGTTAACCATTTACAGTGAGTTGGCAAATATCACATGGTCTCAGTCTGTGAAGCAACTCCACTTTCCTTTCATAAGAAGCCAGAGACCAAAATAAACCTGCTTCATCCAGTGGCGTTTCATTCGTGAATGAATCAGTTTTGAACTAATCATTTAAGAGAATGATAATAATTTGTATCCATTTCTATGCACTGACTCATAGTTCACTAACTGATTATAGTACGAGCAAATTGCTTTAGTTTATAAACTAAATTAAAAAAGGCATCTAGTTATGAACTGAATGAGCACATCTCATTTAGGAATTATCGACTAATCTTAATAGTGAAACTCACATTTTGACTGAAGAATATGACTTTTTTTTTTCTGTAGCCTAACGTATAGCCTACTGAATAATTGGTTACCCTAAGACTAGTAAGATTTGCTAAAGAATAAAGTAGCGTAAACAATCAACTTTGATATAATGCGGATATCAAACTCACGATGTTAGCGATGTAGACGATGTTTCGGGCTTGAGCGATTCAATGATTCATTCACACACAAAAAAAGCCTCCTTCAGCCTGTCAGCTCAAATCCGATTTTTGTGCAAATCTGAAAGGCAACGAAATGAAATCCGATTTTTGCCCCCCCAAAAAAATGTTTTTGCACTTATCGCCACCTACTGGCATAACGATGACTCATGCGGAATGAATCAGTGAATTGAACCTTTTTCTGAACCGGATTCTCGATTCTGAGATGAGATGAATCAAATCCTAAATTTGTCTAAGAGGTTAGTTGACACATTAGTGGGCACTAGCGAGTTTGTAAAAATGCGTAAACGTTTTTGAGTGATCTTCTATCAAAAGCGCGCGCTGACGTTATTCGCAGATGAACCGGGAACTCCGCAAGACTAATGCAATCTCAATATCTTTTCTGAGTCCGGTAGGGTGACCTAAATATACACTTACCTCCAAAAGCATCAGATGTGAACAAATAAAAATAAACACAGGCTTTCAGTTTCTATTCACGTCCATACATGCGGCACTCAAGCGATCGTCTCATATAGGCTAATATCCGAGCGAAATCGCAGACTGTCCAGAACATTCCCAAAAATTGTTGCTCGACTGTCCCTACTGTAAGTCAGCATTCAGTCTTAATTTTCACAACCCTTTACATATGAAGCAATTCCCCACTCTTAAGTCAGCGGTTTGGTGGGTTAGTTACCCTGCCTAAATTCATCGAAATGCCCCGTTTATGAGTTATAATTAATAAACAACCCAAAACTTTTAATAGAACACACGCCTACTGATTTCCATTTTTATCATACTCGGAGTTCCCACAGAAAGCTACTGGTGTGGCAAAAAAAGCTGGGACAAGAGATGTTGCAACCCAGGTTTGTACTGTAAAGGCTTAAAATGCTCAGAAGTCACTCACCTAAAGGCGCAGTTGCATTGGTGCTGGTCGCAGGACAGGACTGGACGGGACGGGGAGCGGTGCCCCTTCACTCTGGGTCAGTGTGTTTGGCCATCTTGACGAGGTTTTTCTCCCCGCAGTCGGTCGCTCTTGTTTAAGCAGCAGAGGGGAGTCTCGGCATCGCTTGCCACATGCTAATAATTAACACGGAGCATTACGTCAGAGGCTTGGCAGCACAAGGAAGCACAAAAATAGAGAATGGAGTTGGGGAGCAGATCGTATTGCTTATCCTACCGGAGACGACTGACCGGGGATCAGGGAATTTTGTTTTTAGGGAGAAAAAGATCCAAGAGGTGTCCGCATCAAACTGGACGATGGAGTGGAAGTTTTGTTTGAACTGTTTAGAGGGGAGGGGATAGTTAAAAAGTCCTGTCCGTCGAAGTCTGAGGATGTTTGTGTGTGAAGGGAAGATTGTAATTTTGACCTACTGTGACGCGCTGAAAGTGGGTTACAAAGTGTGCAAAAAGGAAACTGGGATACACTCGATTCCGCCCTTGAATTCTTCATCTGCTGCGAGGCGCGTTGTACTGGCGGATTCCGTCCATGAGATGGCGCTGCTCTACCACAGTTTGAAATCAGATAGATAGCTAGATAGATACTGAAGTGTAAGATAAGTATCATGCAGCTGAATCAGTGAATATACAGCGACTATTTAGGGATTTATTTGTGTATTGCATATTTAGAACAAGAATCCTTAGATTTAGACATAAAAAAGACTATTTAAGGATCGCAATGCAGCCCCAAAGTACAAATTAATTGTCATTAAAAAAAAAAAAGTTTTACCAATTTGTCAGCAAGGTGTTTTTAATCATTTTAAAAATATAATACAATTTGGTACGATCACTTATGTATGTTAGTATGTATTTTAATAAGTACAGGTCAAAATAAGTGTTTCATTTTTACATAAATATATCTGCACTGAATGAAGATGGAACATAATTTCATACATATTTCGAGATTTTATTTTCACAAAAGTTATTTTAAACATTAGAATCGATACTTGCATTTAATATGCTTTCTATGTATATAAAATCATTTTTGTACATTTCATTTGATGCAAACACCAAAATGGTGTTTATTTACCCATCTACTAAATTAAATAATAAATATATATATATTAAATAAACAAATTAATTTATATAGTACATTTACATTTAGTCATTTAGCAGACGCTTTTATCCAAAGCGACTTACAAATTATGACAACAGAAGCAATCAAAACCAACAAAAGAGCAATAATATGCAAGTGCTATGACAAGTCTCAGTCGAATGTAAATTAATAAATATTAAATTATGAGAAAAGATACAGCTCTGAAATGATCAATTATATATAATTGATAATTACACACACACATTACTGCATTACGCTTAAAATGATCATTTTTAACAGTAGTGCGGTTCTTCCTATATAAGAGGGGAACAAAAGATCAGGCGAATATGATCAGATATCACTAGGAACCTAAAAGAAAGCTGGATTTAAGCATACATACATTTCACTATCAGAAAATAAGAGACTGATGCAGTACAGACTGGACACCGCCTAATACAGAAACTAGTCTTTGGCGACATCTTGCGGTGAACTACATGTTTTGCAATTTTCATCCAAAAGAGTTCCCGGTTCAGTCTGATGACATTAAATATTCAATATTATGCTCAGGTCAATCTGAACAACGCCTGCCCGTTCTGGACAGACCACAGTCAGTGTGGACTCAAATACTGTGCTGTGAAACCATGCACACCGGTGAGCTTTTCAAAGTTCATTCACTTGATTTTGTCTTGAGGAATTTTATATGGGACTTCATAGGTTCCTTGTGTGTTTCGTTACAGGGTGAAGTACCAGAGGGCCTTAAATCCAGCAGTTATAAGGTATTAGAAAGTCATAGTGTATATCGTACATATTAGTGTTACTGGATGTTGATTATTTCCCCCCACAGTATTCAGAAGCAGCCAGTCAGGATATAGAGGAGTGTGAGAAGGCAGAGAAACTTGGAGCCATCAATGGTTCTCTAAGGTATAACATATTTAATTTTTATGTCAGGAATACCCATAATTCTTCAGTTTTTGGCCTTGTTTGTGCAAGTTCTCTCTCTGAATGTTTGCCCATGTAGTGATGAGACACGTCAGGCTCTTCAGGAGTGGAAGAAGCACGATGATGAATCGGACCGTTTCTGCATGTTGGACGGTAATCATAGTTTGATCAATTTTGCTTTTTATTTGAGGTGTCTGATTATTGACAAGTACGTCCTGGGCTGCAGACCAGTATGCTTTAGTCATCCTCCACAGGCTCTGCATCATTGATTTTTTTTCTTTTCTTAGATGAGGACTCGCCTGAATCACAGTATGTCGACCTCCTGCTCAACCCTGAACGTTTCACTGGCTATAAAGGACCAGAGGCCTGGCGGATCTGGAACAGCATCTATGAGGAGAACTGCTTCAAGTAAAGAGTCACCATCACATTTATTCTGAGCAGTGTGGAAAAAGGGGGGGTTTGTGTTTTTGTTTTGTCCCTCCATCTGAGGGTTGTCCCCCCTAAAAATATGATTAAAAACCACGCTGTGTATTGTAAATAACAATGTTTTATACTTTAAATAATTGTGTAAGTAGTAAAACAACACAAACGGGGCAAAAATGCATTTTAAGTTTAGAAACATTTTGAGTCGCCCCCTCCCTTGCCTCACAGTGCTTTGGTCCAAATGTCTGCTTTACTTTTTTACATCACCTACTAGGGCTGTCAATTCGAATATTCGTCGAATTTACAATAAAAATCCACATTCGAATGCAAAAACGTTGCATTTGATATTTCACGCATTTTATAGATGGACATCTATTATTGTTGCACTCGCGTCTCGCACAAAAGAGCCGCATGTTTAGAAAGTCATGTAAAATTAATGCAAGTTTAACTTTGAAAAAAACATATATCGAGACTTTATGTCGGGTTTTTTCCCCATCCCCACTGCGTCTCATGTTTTTAAATGAAAAATGTACTCTGTGATTGGCTTTCCACCCTTTGTATTAAACTATGCATACATACATGATGCTGTTTTGTTTATAGTTGTTTAAGCAACTTAATTATAATTGGTTTATAAACATTATTTTAAACATTATGCACTTTTTTTTCGCAGATAGTCATGTTATCTTATGCTTTGAATGATGTGCCCTCTTGTAGCCTCAAGAGCTTTTCTTCATCCTAACTGAAATTATGCATTTTAAATTCGAATATAATTCGAATTTTGGTAATATTTAAGTACAAAATTCTAATGTAGTTTTTCAGTCATTTTGACAGCCCTATCACCTACACACACAAGTCCGGTGAGAGAGAACATAGTCAATAGTTGTGGAACTCCAGTAAGTAAGACTGTCAAGGCTATTTTATTCACTTAAACATCGGATAAAGTGATTATTTTCTCTTTAATACAGATGATGCCAATGTATTTTTCGATGAGTCGCTAATTAGCAATAACATTACCTGCTTGACGGAAAGGGTTGCCAGGTTTCACAACAAAACCCTCACAATTGCTACTCAAAAGTAGCCCAAAACTAGCCAAAACTAACCGCTTTTCGAGGGGTCCCCCGGTAAAAATCGCGTTCCGGGGGCTAAAATACACATTATTGGGGATGCTTCAACCCGCGGACATGAAATACAACCCGCGGCATCTGTGATAAAGTATCCCAATTCCGCGGGAAAACCACAGACTTGGCAACACTGTGACGGATAGTACTGTCTACAACGGACACGAGCGCTGTCGCGGTGCGACCAACAGCTAGAAGTTGTCTTATTTGGCACGGTCTCCCTGCTGCACAAATAGTAAGGCTTTCCTCTGTGTATACATATACTTACAAGTACAATTTTAGCTGGATTATTTGTGTGCCCTTTTAAAAATTGCTCTTGAGAAATTTTATGTTTATTGTCCCTCCTACTGTTAGACGAAATGTACGCCCCTGCTCGTCAATAACACATTATAAATAACTACTGCTTCTGTTTGCGAGTATTTAGTGCAAATCAGACTTTCACATTCTGACATTTTCTTGAGCAGCAAATCAGCATATTAGAATGATTTCTGAAGGATCATTTGTCACTGAAGACTGGAGTAATGATGCTGAAAGCTCAGCTTATTCATCACAGGAATAAATTGTATTTTCAAATATACTAAAACAGAGAAAACGGTTAATTTTAATTGTAATAAAATTAAACAATATTTCAGTTTTTACTCAATTTTTGAACAAATAACAATCTTCACACCCTAAAAACCCACCTATAATTTGCAACCTAACCTGTCTTTGATATTTTTATTAATTATCATTGAGTGCTCATAATGTTGTAACAACTCTCGTTCTTTTGCTACTTTTTCAGACCGTATTCAGTTAAACGACCACTGAATCCTTTGGCGTCTAACAGCGGTGAGCAGTAATGCTTTGTTTTATGTTTTCCAAGTCTAAAATTTGTCTGTTTTTAAGCACATTGGTTTTATATGCAGTAGATCCATGTCATATTGTGATGCTTATGACAGATAATCCTTGTAATCATCTCTCTTTCTTTCCCTCCACTTTAGGAGACGACGGTAAGGTTACGCTCTTCAAATCCATTTAACCAGTGATTTGATCAGCTAGAAATTGACAAGTCTGTTTCTCATGAAAGGGCAAGGCTTCTACCGCTGGCTAGAAGGTACGTTTCTGCTTAAAGGTAGGGATGGGCGTATCGATATATCGATACTGACGCGAGTATCAAAAGTATCGATACTCAAACAAAAAATATCGATACTAAGGTGTGTTTTATTTACCAGTGATTTTGTTAATTTAACAACAAAAAAATTTGTCGTTTTAAACATAAAGTTAAGTGCTTATCATTACCTATTTTACTCTTAGTAATTTAATACATTTCATAATGTAAAAGTTTAGTTCAGAAGTATCGAATCGGTATCGACGATACTGCCTTGAAAAATATCGGTATCGTATCGAAAACAAAATAAGTGGTATCGCCCATCCCTACTTAAAGGTGCTGTGTTTTATATGTGTTACTGTATATTTTAATTTACATGTCCCTCTTGTTGTTCCTCGAGGCTTGTGTGTGGAGAAACGAGCGTTCTTCAGGCTGATCTCAGGACTGCATGCCAGTATAAACATACACCTGAGCGCCAGGTACCTACTAGACGGTAAGTCACGACTTGTTTTGTGTTTTTCATTGTAAGTTAAAAATGTAAAAAGTTAAACATTTCTGGGACTATTTAAACTTGAGTGTTTAATTGTCTGATTTGATTTGTTCGGTCAGAAAACTGGTTCGAAATGAAGTGGGGTCACAACGTCTCCGAGTTCCAGCTGAGGTTTGACGAGGAGCTGACAGAAGGGGAGGGGCCAAAGAGACTACGCAACCTCTACTACCTGTACCTCATTGAGCTGCGTGCTCTGGCAAAAATACTGCCTTATTTTGAACGTCCTGCCTTCCATTTGTACACTGGCCAACGCACTCAAGACAACGAGAACAAGAAACTGCTTCTAGAGCTCCTCCATTTGGCCAAGTAAGAGCATTGCAATGGTTGCGTCAAAAAAAATGTAGTTGTTTTTTTATTGTAATAATATTTCACAATATATTATTTTTTTATATATATGAATATATTCTAATATATTTAAAATGTTTATATTTGCAGATCCTTTCCATTGCATTTTGATGAGACTGCTCTGTTTGCTGGAAATAATAAGGAAGCTATGAAACTGAAAGTCAGTGGCTCTTTTCCATGTTTGCTATAATAACAATGTTACAGAAATACATGTTTTTTTTTAAAGAAGCATTAAATCAGTTGCATCTTTCCTGACCTTAGGAAGACTTCAAGCTGACTTTTAAGAACATCTCACGCATCATGGACTGTGTTGAGTGTTTTAAATGCAGACTTTGGGGCAAATTGCAGGTAAGATGGTGAAGACCGTGACATGTATCCAGATGATGTTGTTTGTGTTGATATGTGACGTCCAGTGAATGTCTCTCATAGACTCAGGGCTTGGGAAGTGCACTGAAAATCCTGTTCTCAGAAAGGCAAATCGAGGCAATGCCCAACACAAGCAACACCAATCCATCATTTCAGCTCAGCCGGCAGGAAATTGTGTCTTTGTTCAATGCTTTTGGAAGGTATGTCAATATCTATTTTTGTCAGGATATCTTTATGTCTTGTTTTAATGTGTCTTGTTTTGTTTCAGGATCTCCACAAGTGTCAGAGAGCTGGAGAACTTTCGGTCGCTGTTGTCAAATCTCAAACAGTGACAGTAAAAAAATCCCTCGTTCAGCCACAGTCAAGAATCTGACATGCATAACACAACAGGACAGATTTGTTTTGGGTTGTTAAATTACGGTTTTCAGAATGTTTTATACCAATTGTTTCTAGATACAGTTTAACAGCACTGCACAGTTTTATCCCTTAAGAATTGAGCACCTTAGTCACAAAACTGTATGTTAGGGCTATATTTTGCACTATTACATGTCTCTTACAAAAATGTATTTCACATGTTAAATGTATAAAAAAAACGGAATAAGTGACCAAAAATTAACGTAGCTTCTCGGGAATTAAATGGAGATACATAAATATACTTCAAATGGTTTACAAGAGGGACATAAACCACTTGATTTGTGTATTTTGCATATATAAAGCCAAGTTTTCATTTCTTTATAGGTGTAATATATTTTTAAAAATATGAGTTAAATTAAGCGTTGTAGTTTTTGAATACGTGCCTCAGCACCTAGATTTTTTGAGCATATTGACTATTACATAAAAAAGAATATTTACATTTTTTTTTAAATATATTATTTAATATTGTGAATGTACTTTTCTCAGTAAGAGAAGTGTTGTTCTTTATTAGTAGAATTATATTTTCAAAAAGTGATCACTTATTTTAAATGTCCTATATATTTTTTTCATAAACATTCCAGATGTTTGTATCGAGTTTCACATAGGCTTTGCATTTATTTTGCTATGAATGTTAAAGTGTGTTGGGGAGGTTTGTCTTTTTTTTTTTTACATTCCTTCATACATTCTTTTATGCATTTGTTCATTTAACATTTCAGTGCATTCGGTGTATACATTTAATCAGTAAATGCGTTCCTTAGGAATCAAACACATGACATTGTTAGTTCCACAATCTACCAATTGAGCCATAGGGTGTAACACTACTAACAAAGGTTTGACATAACCTAAATTCAGCAATTATATGAATTAACAGCAAGTATTAATAGCAGTCAAAACATTGAATATACAGCTGACGATCTTAGAGGTAGAAGCAAGATTCACTGTTCTGTCCTAATTTAACCTGCTCCATGAGACTCTTGTGAGATCCAACCACTACAAATTCAATTGTGGCCAGCAGTTCAGCCAAGAAACGAAAGCACAGACATGTTCGACTGTTATCAAGAGAAATGAACACTGGTATGTTGAAGGGAAAACCTGTAGATACAGAAACACACGAGTTAAAAAAAAAAAAAGTTTATATTTTTACTTCTGTTGCTATCTGCAATAAACATCAATTTTCTGTAGATTTCTTATAATAAATCACACCAAATAACCCAGACTCTGGTCAAAACAAAATTTGTTTTTAAAACAGTGCAATAAAACTTTATTTTTTTATGGTAGTGCTTGTGTACATCTTTAATGAACTATGAACATGGGTAAACGGGTTACATTCATTGGCCTCAAACAAAAAAAAACAAAGGCTTTGCTCTTTTGCGAGATTCAAGAGTTGATATAAATTTCACAGTAACATTTTTCAGACCAGACTCACATTTATAAATTAATAAAGATGAAAAATAAAACAAACCAACCAACTCATACACAGCCCCATCCTGTCTGCGGTTTGTCAGGAAATGAACCCAATCAGCATTCGATCAAACGCATAACATTGCCATCAATTAACGCTTAAGATCTCTCATAACTGAAAAGCTTTGCTACACATTAGCTGGCAGAAAGCAAGGATATGAGACACGAGGCTGACTTAAAACATCCAAATCAATTAAAATCATCCGCTTTTTTTCATACAGCATACACAAAACCCTGCAAGATGCAATTTAAAACACATTTTAAAAATAAATCCAATAACAGCAGGTGCATATGGAGTTTCAATCCCACAGCTGCCCATATATAATATTTACACAACTAATGATTGCTTCAGCCAAATGATTGCTGGTATTATCTTGTACACAGCTCATAACATATGAAGCAGCAAATTAGGGGATTACATTTATATATTTTTTTGCTAAAACACAAAATGATTATTATTTTTTTAGGGAAATGGAAAGGGCTTCTTCATTTAAGCTGGACATGGGACATCGATTGCTGACCAATCGCGCTCCTGAAATACAAATATAGAGGAATGATGATATAAAGCTTATGAAGCATGTTCAATACAAACATTAATTCTGTGCGACATGTTTTCGGCTAGGAAAATCATACGATGGCACCATTTCAGGCATCCCTGGAGAATGATATACTACTTTACTGATATAAGCCCAAAATGTCCTTCAAAAGCCAAGTACCAAAATATTAGAGGATGTAAGTAGAGTTAGTCTTCCTCGTCACACTTATCACACTATATCTCAGTCGACGGTTCTGGGATTGTAGGAACCGGGTGTCTTTGTCTTTGGGAAGCGTGGAAATGTACTACCTTGGATTTAAGCACGGGCTCCTTGGCAACGCAATAAAGGAATTCAAGAAAGAGTCACATGTTAACATCAGTGCACGTTGGATCCTAGTACTGACAGATCCAGAATGCTTTCACTTGATCGTCTCGGATGGACTAGGCGTTCGTGCTCTGATGATGGAATATAAAAAGCGTACTCTCCAAAAATGGAAAAATCTCGCCACCACCAACACCACATTCTGGCCTACAACTACTCCAACTGATCCAAATATGAAATACAGGCCCACAATAAGTGCAAAAAGCACATCCCAACTCACAGAGGGGAGTCCATGTGCTGAAGGCTCTGAGGAGTTCATTGCACCAATGTTGGGTGATGGGATGGATGGTTTTCAGAAATGAGAACATCGGAAAAGCTGGTCCAAATAAACCTCCCCCCCATCACCTTATGGTCCCTTTAAATTCCTGCCGCATCAATGTGGGCAGATAAATTGACTTGAGGGGGAAGACGACCATAAAGCATTGCTCGATGTCCTGGCTGAGCCAAACCTCAGACTAGATCGTTCCACAGAAGGATCTGCTTTAGTTCTGAGGGGTGGCGTAGTGTGTTTGGGAGGTCGAGTAGTAGTTCTGGGGGGTGGAATAGTAATTGTGGTGCTGGTTGGTCTGAATGTTGTCGTAGGCAAAGAGAAGAGGGGCGTTACTGATATAAGCCCAAAATGTCCTTCAAAAGCCAAGTACCAAAATATTAGAGGATGTAAGTAGAGTTAGTCTTCCTCGTCACACTTATCACACTATATCTCAGTCGACGGTTCTGGGATTGTAGGAACCGGGTGTCTTTGTCTTTGGGAAGCGTGGAAATGTACTACCTTGGATTTAAGCACGGGCTCCTTGGCAACGCAATAAAGGAATTCAAGAAAGAGTCACATGTTAACATCAGTGCACGTTGGATCCTAGTACTGACAGATCCAGAATGCTTTCACTTGATCGTCTCGGATGGACTAGGCGTTCGTGCTCTGATGATGGAATATAAAAAGCGTACTCTCCAAAAATGGAAAAATCTCGCCACCACCAACACCACATTCTGGCCTACAACTACTCCAACTGATCCAAATATGAAATACAGGCCCACAATAAGTGCAAAAAGCACATCCCAACTCACAGAGGGGAGTCCATGTGCTTAAGGCTCTGAGGAGTTCATTGCACCAATGTTGGATGATGGGATGGATGGTTTTCAGAAATGAGAACATCGGAAAAGCTGGTCCAAATAAACCTCCCCCCCATCACCTTATGGTCCCTTTAAATTCCTGCCGCATCAATGTGGGCAGATAAATTGACTTGAGGGGGAAGACGACCATAAAGCATTGCTCGATGTCCTGGCTGAGCCAAACCTCAGACTAGATCGTTCCACAGAAGGATCTGCTTTAGTTCTGAGGGGTGGCGTAGTGTGTTTGGGAGGTCGAGTAGTAGTTCTGGGGGGTGGAATAGTAATTGTGGTGCTGGTTGGTCTGAATGTTGTCGTAGGCAAAGAGAAGAGGGGCGGTTGATGTTCGGGGGCCGTTCAGCAGGTGAGGGATTGCCGTTAGGCTGCCGTTCCTCTGGATCGAGCCGTACCAACTTGGGCCCGTCTGCGGTGTGGACGACAGGATACTGCTGGAAAACAGAACCTTCAGGCTTAGAGATACAATTTAACTGATATATCAATCATGTAAATTAAAAGGATAGTTCACAAAAAACATCTGTTTTTAGCTGAAGAAAAATATCATACAAGTTTTTAAAGACATCAACGTGAGTCAGGGCACCAGATGCACAAAAAAAAGAAATAAATTTGCAAGTGTGACAAGTAAATCACCATGCGGTTCCCAAACAAATGACTCTAATGAACTGGTCCTTTTTAATGAGTCAGTCAGAAAGTTTCATGAAACAGCCTTGCTTGTGAGTTAAAGATTTAAATCAGACTTAGTCATTCAGAGCCATTACTGATTTCAGAAGTGACTCGCTCACTTAACTGGCGTCATTTTCGGTTACACTAAAATTCAAAGGTTTTGGGGTCAGTAATGTTTTTTTTTAATTAATATTATTACTTTTTATTATCATCAACACTTTTTTAAAGAAATTAATATTTTTTTTGATTCAGCAAGGATGCATTAAATACATTACATTTTTACAAAAGATTAATTAAAATTTTAAAATAGAAAACTTTTTAAAATTATAATTATTTTTCACAATGTTACTGTTTTTACTGTATTTTGATCAATTAATTGCAGCCTAGATTGGACGTTCAAAAACATTCAGTAAAATATTAGAATAGTCATTTCCAATTTTGTTCAATATTTTTATTTAGTAACACTAATAATAATTCTGTAAAGCATCTAAAAATAGAAGTAATTTGGTTCCTAAATCTTTCATTTCAGGGGCCAAGGGGTCTGGAATCCCGTGATTAAATCATTTTTAATTAAACTATTCCTTTAAAAACGTCATAAATCTTTAACTAGACGTAAATATAACACTCCTATCTTTGAGAAGTTCCAGTAAACACAAATGTGAGTACACACACCTGCATCTATCTCCTCGGGAAGTTGTGTTTCTAGACAGATCATCATCACTATCATAGCGGCGTGGGTTGTCAAAGAAATACGCCCTGGAACTAAAGCTGTGACTGTTGATCATGCCACCCGGTGTCTGTGGAAACAAGGTATACAAAATATAAATAAAACGGTATGACTGGTCCAACACAGACAGGCAAATACGTGACTAACACAGCAGCATGGGATGTTGTTTTCAGTGGGGCAGACGTCGGAGTAATTAATTCTATCTGACAGGAAAACAACTCCGCTGGGGCTTAAAAAGCCGATCGCCGGCTCTCATCATTGAGTAAGTGTCCAGCTGTGATATTGATGGACAGATTTAGAGGAGTGAGACAGGATTAGACTTTCACCAGGTTCTGATTGGGCCGCTGCACTCTGAAGAACACCACCACCAGACTGGTGGGCAGCAGCTCCCAGAAGAACAGGATGATCCCAAAGACCACATAGGCTTCCCCATTGATCTTCTCTGCATCCGCCTGGAGACACAAACACAATGCAAGACAAATTTTACATTTTGAGAACTTTCCACTTCTGAGCATATTGATGTATCGGTACACTGTAAAGGCCAATACACCTTAGAGTAGACAGCAGAGTTGTTCTTGTTATCTAAAGCCTAAAATAATCTAAATGTAATCTAAAAACCATTTATAATTGTTTTTGTAAAATAAAATAAAATATTAGATGAAAGACTTAATCTTTCTTGTGTAAAAAAGGTTTAAGTTGAAGTACTAAAAAAATAAAAACTAGAACTGAAATAAATATAAATGAAAGCTAAATAGAAGCACTTGAGGAAAAAAAAAAAAAAAGATTAAAATGCCAAAATTCCCTATACAGTCATTACACTTTCACATATAACTTGTCACCATGTATCATGTATTGTCACATTTAATTAGTGCAAGAAACAGCTGTGTCTAAATGGTGTGATTTATTGACGAGGTGTGCTATTACACTTCTGTGCAATCTGACTTATATTACGCTTTTACACATAAATGAAGACAGCCATAAATATTAATATAGCAATTTTACAGTTTTACTTAATTATTTCTTTCTTAAATATTCAATGTTTATTTTACACTAGTAATATTTCCTATTTTGTTTAACATTTTTGTTTAGTAAATAATACAAAATTAATAATCGTGATTGTATTTGTTCAATAAATTGTGCAGCCCCACAAACAAGCACAGCAAACTTGAATCTTTTAAAAATGCAATCAAATTGCAATCACAATTTTCATCATGAAAAATAAATAAATAAATAATTAAAAAGCAAACCAATTTTTCCTCAAATCATGCAGCCATAGAGGAGAATAGCCCTAACAAGTAGACATACTATACTACCATTGAAAAGCACAAGACACTGTGGCCTACAACAAACAAAAGCACAAACATCATGCATACGAATATCTGCAAAAATGCAGACAATGCAGGATGAGGAAAGATGTAAACAATCCTAGAATCAAATGCATCATCAAAACAGCGAGAAACAAATCCTCACAACAGCTTTGCGTGAGACAAAGTAACTTTATGAAGAATAAGCAAGACAGCCACCCAAACATATGCAGCTGAATCAGAGAAGGGGGCAGGCCGATCAGGGGAACCTTGGCTTCCTGTCGGCCCGTCTCAGAGGTGAACCCAAACTAGGTCACCGCCAGCCAGCCATCCTTTCTGCACAGCAGCCTTGCCCGAGCTATTTATAGCAAAACAAAAACCTTTCCCCCACAGAGCCCATATCCGTCTAAATCCCCTCAAATGGATTGTTTCTGTGGAGCACTGCGCAAAGCAGCGTAATCCATGTTGAATTACTTTATTTTTAATGAATGAAGCCGTCAACATCTCTTTTTATAAAACAACAAAGTACAGAAATACATTTGTAAATATGCAGCAAAAGGCATAATCTGTCATTTATTACACAGCCTCTATTATACTTTTTAATTGTACCAAACACATAACAGCCCTTGAAGGATGCAGCGCTAAATCAGAGCACACAAAAATGAGCTACTATGCAAATGAGAAGAATAAATACATAACGAGTTCATACATCTCACATAAAGGTGAAAGCAGCATTGATTATTAACTCAAACAGTTGTGCCACACTAACAGCAGTGAGCTTTCTGAGACTTGTTTATCTGGGACAGTGAAAGTTCAATGAGGGTTTATCAGCTTTATGTTTTCTACATACACTATCTCTCAAGAGTTTGGGCTGTGTACGTTTTTTAAATGTTTTTGAAGTCTCTTATGCTCACCAAGGCTGCATTTATTTGATTAAAGGGGTCATATGATGCTGCTAAAAAGAACATTATTTTGTGTATTTGGTGTAATGAAATGTGTTTATGCGGTTTAAAGTTAAAAAAACACATTATTTTCCACATACTGTACATTAACGAGCCGTTTTAGGTAGGTGTGGCTAACTCTTAACTTTTATAAAGAATATCTCTTTGGATTTGAGACTTTAGTCTTTGCAACTTTACAGATCTTCTTTATGCACCAAGAGCTTGTAACACTCTAAAGAGAAAGGAAAAAATGAAATCGCATCATATGACCCCTTTAAAATACTGTAAAATCAGTAATATTGTGAAATATTATTACAATTTAAAATAGCTCTTTACTATTATAATATATTTTAAAACGTAATTTATTCCTGTGATGCAAAGCTAAATTTTCAGTCTTTAATGTCACATTATCCTTCAGAAATCATTCTAATATGCTATTCATCAGTTTTAAACTACTTAATGTTTTTGTGAAAACCATTACATAGATTATTTTTCAGGATTCTTTGATAAAAAGAAAGTTCAAAAGAACAGAATTTATTTGAAATAAAAATCATTTGTAACTTTATACAGCTTTGAAATTCTATACTGCCTTTGGATCAATTTAAAGTATCCTTGCTAAATAAAAGTATTAATTATTTTTTTTAAAAACATACTGCATCACACTTAAGGCCCGTTCACACCAAGGATGATAACTATAAAGATAACGATAAAGATATAGCTCTAAAAATCGTTCTCAATATTAAAGAATAGCAGAGTTCACACCACAGCTATAACAATAAAGGCACAGAGAAACGATATCGTTGGAATCACTTCCAGAACGATTTTTTTCAGTTGATGAACGATAAAATTATTGACATTCAATCAGAATCAGTACTACTATCACAAGCCCGAGAATTTAAAGCAGCAAACGCGTGTGCACTTAGAATAAACTGACGATACCGTCCGCTGGTCTGGACGCTAATATCGTTATCTTTATAGTTATCGTTCTTGGTGTGAACGGGGCTTTAGATTTAACATTAACAATATATACGTAAAGTTATATTGAACTACCTGGTCAGATACATTGTACCAGCCATAATTAAACGGGCTGGGCCGATCTTCAGGAGAAAGAGCCACCACAACCAGGTTATAACAGGCTCTGGAGGTGTAGAGGAGGATAACTGCTGCCCCAATGGCTGTGGCCTGGCATACTGATGTCCCCTGGATCACAATCACAAAGATCACCACAGTTAGACAGAATGGTAATTACTTTTCCAACACTATTCAATGCAATTAGTTGTTATTGCACTGTCAAACTGAAAATGCTACACGATCATGTTCTGAATCCCAATTGGTAATCTCCAAATCCAAGCGCATCCCTGTCCACTTACCTTTGACTCCAGGTAGACATTGGCAGAAGACATTTTAGCGATCTTGAAGATGCAGATGGCGAGTGAGATCGCACAGAGCACAAAGAGGCTGTCGTTAACCAGCACTCGTGCCAGAACGGCATCCTTCACCTGACTCTCACCCACATCTCCCTGAACCAGCATGGCACACGTCACGTTCACCACCAGGAAAAAAACACTGGCCAGCAGAAATCCTAGACGCAGGGGCACCCTATTGAGAGTTGAGAGAAAAATTATTTCAGAGAAAGAAAGAAAAAATGACATAAATGAGTCATTGGTGAATTATAGGTGAACAAATTTAACATCTACATTTTATTATTAGATTTGAATTATTTCATTTGATCTTAACTAAATATTCCTGACATGATTTTAGATATGATTCAGTGCATTTAAAAAAAAAAAATAGGATATAATATAATTTTTTTACTATGTTCTGTTAAATAAAATCAAGCTCTGTCACATAATACGTCATGCTCAATATTTTGCTTCACTCAGAAATACAGTGGGTACGTAAAGTATTCAGACCCCCTTAAATTTTTCACTCTTTGTTATATTGCAGCCATTTGCTAAAATCATTTAAGTTAATTTTTTTTCCTCATTAATGTACACACAGCAAAAAAAAAAAAAAAAAAAAAATAAATAAATAAATAAATAAATAAAGGACCCCACACACACACACACTCTTGATGCATTGACTAAAATGTTGGCCTTTTCCTATATTGCTATAACTTCCATGGTGCTTTATTAGCATTTTGAAGCTTGACAGGCTCAGTATTCCTTCACTGTATGGAAAAGATCAGCATGAACAGGTTTTGAATATGTTGAATAAGTAAGTAAATTAAATCATTTTAATTTTTAGATGAACCATCTCCTTGGTTACCACTGTAAACAAAGCGTATGAACACAACTTCATACGGAAGCAAGATGAAAAGAAAATACCATCTAAACTTTTCTAAAGACAGTCAGTTCCTCTCAGATACATTCATATAAATGCCTACCCCCACGTTTTGTTTAACATCTCAACCGATTTGAATCATCACATATTTATATTGATTTTCAACAGGCTCTGAGTGTATCGTTACATCCCTAGTAGACAGCAATGCAACTGACACGTTTAAGGCCCAGAAAGGTAGTAAGGGCATTGTTAAAATAGTCCATGTGACGTGAGTTTTTGTGCTTAAAGAAAGCAATAATAACGGCAGCGTTCTGATGTAGAACGCACATGTGTCAATAATGCCGGAAGATGTGATTAGGAGGAGGAGAATGGTTGAATAAAGTCATTATTTTTGTTTTCTTTGCACACCAAAAGTATTCTCGCATTCTCTTCGTAAAATTGCAGTTGAACTACTGATGTCACATGGACTATTTTAACGATTTCCTTACTACACTTTCAGTTGCATTGCTGTCTATGGAGGGTCAGAAAGCTCTTGGATTTCATCAAAAACATCTTAATTTGTGTTCTGAATAAGAACGAAGGTCTTGTGGGTTTGGAATGACATGAGGGTGAGTAATTAATGACAGAATTTTCATTTTTGGGTGAACTATCCCTTTAATTCATTCACAGCCCTCACAGCTAGGAAAGAAAATCTCTTACTTGTACTTATTGAGTTCCGGTGAATATTTAGCTTTGGCTTTGAAAATCACCTGTGGAAAAGGACATAGAAAGATTTTTATTACTTACAAACATGACAAGGTCAAACTCTATCTCTTGAGCAGAGGTATTATCAGTACAGAAAAAAACGTTTTCACCAAGAAACGTCTGCTATCTGTACTTCAAGCCTGCTCACAGGCCAAGTGATGACTAGCTTGTGCTAATGCAAAGATAAGGATGACCAGGGACCAGGCTATCTGAGTTTGTTTAAACAGAAACATCTCCTGGTTAAGCAAACAGCCCAAGAGTTCAATAACCAGTGGAAGTTATTGGTTATACCTAAGGCCTTTGCAACTCTAGCCGTAAGGTCAACTCAAGGTAAGCACAACTACAGAAGCTTGCACAACCGTCACTGATAAGCATTCATGGACTGTTTTCACTCTGACATGGCCTTCATGTAGTTCACACAAAGTCCATAACATCCATTAGCAGGTAATATCAACATATGCACTACCATTCAAAAATAGAGGTCAGTAAGGTTTTTTTAATACTTTTATTCAGAAAAGACACATTAAATTGATCAAAACATCCATTAGCAGATGATACACTCTAGCATATAAACTACCATTCAAAAGACAGATCAGTAAGATTCTGGTTTTTTTTTTAAAGAAAGTAATACTTTTATTCAGAAAATACTAATTAAATTGATTGAATGTGACAATTCAGTCTTGCCATCACAGGAATAAATTACATTTTTAAATGTATTAAACTAACTAGAAAACAGTTATTTTGAATTGTAATATTTTTTTTTTCTGTATTTTTGATCAAATAAATGCAGCCTTGGTGAGCATAAGAGACTTCTTTCAAAAACATAAAAAAAAAATCTTACCAACACAAACTTTTAATTGTTAGTATGAACACATGCATGACCACAAACTTCAAAGTAATGATACTAGGGCATTAAGGGCTTTCTTTAAGCTCTGTCATGTTAACCTCTGTACAATATGAACCACAGCAGTACTGAAACAGGAACAGACCTCACCTGTAGCTTTCTGCACCTACTGAAAAGTTTATAGGGTCTGAGTTTCACATGAAACTTGGAAAATTAAATTAGATGAAAAAGGATACAGTGATTAATATATACAACTACAAAAAACATTTAGAGAGTCAAAATGTTATATGTACATCATTCATTCATTCATTCAAGTCTAGCCCTACAGTTTTTTTCCGTCATGACAATTCATGACACAATTAAAACAAACAAACAATGGTAACAAGTACCCTGTGCAAAACTAGTCAAATAGGCCTAGCTGACTAAACCATACTGCTGCTGCTAGTCAGCATCTGAAATATTTAAATATAGTTTCTCATTAAACTCTTTAACATCTTATTCATTTACAATTAGTTTTAAAGGGGTCATATGATGCTGCTAAAAAGAACATTATTTTGTGTATTTGGTGTAATGAAATGTGTTTATGCGGTTTAAGGTAAAAAAACCACATTATTTTCCACATACTGTACATTATTGTTTCTCCTCTATGCCCCGCCTTTCTGAAACGCGTCGATTTTTACAAAGCTCATCGGTCTGAAAAGCGAGGTGTGCTCTGATTGGCCAGCTATCCAGTGCGTTGTGATTGGCCGAATACCTCAAGCGTGTGACGGAAATGTTACGCCCCTTACCATACTGTTGATGCCGTGTCCCGGCCAGAGCGACGAGACAAAAACATTAAAACCCATTATAAACGAGGGATTTGTTGCATCCAGTGGGGACATAATTCCGGATTATAATGACTTATACTGTCTTGCGTTGCAG